CAAACTAACCAAATATTTCTCATCCTGACTCCAAGTCATGGAAAGCAGCAAAGTCATTTGTATGGGGTGTAAAAAAAAAAAATCAGTGACACAACCTGAAATGATTTAACAGAGGATCAACATTTCTGATTAGATGATGAAGTTCAAGTCACTCTCTGAAGCACCAATGCCAACATCACACTCGACACCCACGTGGCCTCAAACTCTTGCAGGACATTAAAAAGAGATGGGTCAACATTCTGGAGCAGGGGTCTACTAAGAAACAATCCCTTTTCTCAGTTAGTGGGATCCTTTTATCAAAAAGATACAAAATGAAGACAATTTAAACCCTTAGCTCTGTGCTAGCCAGAAACAAAAGGGATTGACCTTTTGGGCTGCACTGTCCTATCAAGAATCAACTGCAACCCTCTAACAGATCTACTCAAGCTATGGATTCTGCATGAGTTGAAAGGGACCTCAAAGATCATCCAGTTCCATCCCCTCTGCCACGGGTAGGGACACCTTCCACTAGACCAGGTTGCTCCTAGCCCTGTCCAACCTGATTTTAATTTAGTTTGTTGTAGATTTGCCCTGGAGACTCAGCAGGACCTCAGAGAGGCCTCTGCAGGTGTGATGTAGGGTTTTAGTCCTACAAAATTGTGGAGATGATGTGCTTTTGTCCTGGGAGAAATTTGAAAATCTACTAAGCTGCTTGAAATGCAAGTAGAATGTGCATGCAGCAGGGAGAGCAAGATCTGAGATGATGTGGAATAAAACACAAGAAGTTGTAGAGGAAGAAAAGCCATGGGAAAAAGGGATTACATACAAAAATATCTCCAACACGAACAGCATGAAGAGTCTGGCATCCTAAGCAGGTCGAGATGCTGTGTGACACAAAGAGCTGGGGAGAGCCTGCTGTGGCAGAGCCTGGCCCTACAACCTAACAGTGCTTCAGACCTATTTCCAAACACCCTGAAAATGTCAGTTCCTGGTTTATAACAACTCTCACAGCAAAAGTCAAGAGAAAACCCACCCAACCAGTCCAGTTATTCAGACAATGCAGCTCGTGGAACATCATTCACATGCAACACCACAGCCCTGGAGCACAAAGCTGCTGCCCAAAAGGATGCACATGAACACTAACAAAATAAAACAAAGCTCAGCTGGACTCCTTGGACAGTTTGCACAGGCAATGTGAGATCTGTTAGAAGCAAAAGTGGTAAATCTGTCAGGATGAGGATATGTGAAATCTGAACAAGGCTGGTGGGGGACCAAATAAGCCTTTTTAAAACGGAATTTCATGATTAGCAGCAGCAAGTGACAACCTTGGCGGAAGTAACAGATACACAGCCCTGGTCTGCTGCAGTCACTCACGTGTCATTAGAGAAGTTCCACTGGGGCAGCCTCTATGCTGCAAGCAGGATGAAAAGCCACCCAAAACACAGCCTGTCAATCATGAGATGGAGAGTTTTCCAAAAGTTCCAACAAAAGCAAGAGATGAGACACTTGACAAAACCCCAGTGAACAACCCGTGAGCTCCTCAGCGAGCAGGAGGTTAATGATGCAAATGTGATTTGAAGAGTGGGCATAATATCCTCTGCTGGTGGGTTTTGGCATGGATCTGTGGAGCCCCATGGACAGTGACAGCTCATGCCAGGCTGTCTGCAGGGGACCTGATAGGGGTAATCATCAGACAAGGAGGTGATTATACACAGACCAGAAATACCTGCCAGGAGCACTGGAACAGTCTGAAAGAAGACACTGTTTGTAAGTGAGCTCTAAAACACACAGTGAGCTGTAGAAATCGGGTTTAGAGTGAGAGACAAGATTTCAAGGCAAGATTTCTTCCCCTGCAATTGATTTTCATGATACCCAATGCAGTTGCAATCAGTAACAAAAATAAAATCTTTCAAAAAACTTATTTTAGTTGAAGGTAAAGAATTTTGGGCTCCAGTTCTAGGATTTTCATTTTTTCATGCCTGAAGAACCTGTGGCTGCCCCCATCCTTGGAAGTGTCCAAGGCCAGGTTGGATGGAGCTTAGAGCAACCTGGGCTAGTGGAAGGTGTCCTTGCCCATGGCAGAGGGGTGGAACAAGATGATAATTTATGGTCCCTTCCAACCCAAACCATTCTGTGATTCTGTCACTCTATGATTCATTTTCCTGCTGTTTTCCCAGCTAACACTCAATATTCAAAAGAGATTTAAGAGTTTACACACACAAAGAAAATTTTGAATTTATATTTGCACACCATCACTTTGTCTGCCCTGCAGATCCAGGAAGGCCTTGACCACAGAAAGCTTATACAGGTATAGATTTGAAGTCATTTGACTGAGCATGTAATGTCAGATCTTATCCTACTATATATCCACCTTCAGAAGGATGACAAAGCTAATTTTGCCTTTTTGGGGCCAGTACTCCACTTGGTTTTCCTTTTTGTCCACGAAGACAACCAAGAATAACACTGAAAACTAGAAGGGCAGTTGTAAGCCCGTAAAAACTGGAAAGAAAAAATACTATAAGTGAGCAGCAAGGCTACTTTTAAGCTGTCTAGCTCATAACCTGACAATTTCTGTTTAATATTAGAGCTGTTACTCGGGCAGACCCACACTGTACACGTCTCTTGCCACATTTCAAACGCAGTTTTCAAGGCATATGGTAACTAAAATTTGTCTTAATCACTAAGCGCGTGTTTATGTCAAAATTAGGATGTCCTGGCAGCACCTCAGCTCGCTCCCACCGTGCCCAGAGGATTGAAGCCAGCTGAGGTAGAAGTTGCAGAGCTGCAGAACGCCTGGTGAGACTCGTGCCAGCACAGCTAAGAGGACTTTTCGTCACCGGGCAGCTTGGCCGGTGTGGAAACGCGCGGCTGCAACTTTCAGCACCTCCCCGACCAAGAAAGCAGCACATGATCTGGCAAAGCTAAAGCTGTTCTCTACTTCCACAGGAAAAAGTGGAATTAAGGAGGGGATGCTAGCTGAGCACACTGGCTGCAGACGGAAAAGGGCAAGTTATAGATATGTTACGGGAAGAAGAGGAGTAGGGAAGATGTAGCAAAGCAAACCCAAAGTGCAGCTGAGCTGCAAGGGGCATCAAGGACCACTGTGCCCAAGCTTGGACATCTAAAGATGGGCACCACAGACATAAACAGCTGGCACAAACTTTATACAGAGCTCAATCATCAGTGAAAATGTAATCTTAGAGCTCCAGCTTGATTCCCAAGGAATCCCAAGCCACAACTTACAGGATTTCCACCCCCTCTTATGAGTCTTTTCACTCATCTGTGTGCTAGAGCCGAGCCCCCTTAAATTTGCCTTCTAATTATTGTAGGACAACTGCTTTGAAGCATCTTATCTCAAACTTTCCTGCATGTATAGTTGTTTATCCTCTATCCCAGTGCACATCCAAACCATGTAGGGGCCTGTCCAGCCACAGTGGCTCCCACACTCAGAGAAGGGGTATGTGCTGCCTCCACCCAAACCAACCCACCCTCAATCCATGAAAAGGGAACAGCCACAGGGGAACTATTTCTCCTCATCTACTTGAGATTTTCTGCAGCCTTTATCCCAAACACACTGATTTGGTGTAATAGAAGCATTGACAAGGAGAAATTAAGACCCCTCACAAAGTCAAAGCAAAGCTGCAACTCCTGTTAACTCATTAACATAAATCCCAGGTGCCTGATAAAACTCAACACTTTGTCCTTCCCACCCTGGGATTTCAATGTGCTAAAATGTCTTCCCATCTTTCTCTTAGCAAGTCCACAGCCAAAATCCCAGTGAAAGTCACTGTCAAGACATTTGGAGACAAGCAAACATTTACAGAGTTTAAAGTTACAATGAAAAAAAAAAAAAAAGATCCAGGATGAGTTTGTAGTAACACACAGGGACACACACACCCCTCAGCGCTGTTACATGTATTTATACAGGAGAATCTCCCCTCCTCTCGCATAAAATATGCATTGTCAGCTGCTGCTTAAGGAACAGGAGAGGGTTGGGCCCTCCAGGGATTCCGGAATAAGCCCCAGACTCGCAGTGTGAAGAGACAAGTCGCTTTCCTAGGCTTCTATAACACGGATAGCACAGAGCCCATGTCCCAAAACATCCTCCCCGATCCCTGCCGTGCACTCCCTTTGAATGGACACAGCGGCGAGAAAACTTTTCCCCAGCCAGGACGCTTTTGCCATCACTGTTTGGCTTTTCCAAGCAATTTTTCCCGGCTGGAAGCAGAGTCCAAACTCTGACAATACTTCCAGACCCTGAATTCAGTCCCGGAGGCTGTTTGAAGGGGGACGGGTCGGGGGAGAGGGGGGAGAATTTTCCCCTGGGAGACCCCATAGGTCACCCCCAACACACACTGGGGGGTCCCCAGGACCACCCCTCCATCCCAGGGGCAGAGACCGGTGGGGCTGGGGGTGCAGGGCTGGGGCCCCGCGGGGTTTGGGATGCACAGCTAGGGTATGGGGGTGCAAGGGTTGTGACCCTGCAGGGCTGGGGGTACCAGGGATGGGACCACGGGAGGTTTGGGATACACAGCTGGGGTATGGGGGTGCCAGCGTTGGGACCCGGCAGGGCTGGGGGCGCAGGGGATGAGACTCCGCGGGGCTGGGGGTAGCAGAGATGGGACCACGGGAGGTTTGGGATACACAACTGGGGTATGGGGGTGCCAGGGTTGGGACCCGGCGGGGCTGGGGGCGCAGGGGATGGGACCCGGTGGGATGGGGGGTACCGGGGGATGTGACCACGCGGGGGTTGCGGGTGCAGGGGCCAGGGACCCGGCGGGGCTGGGAGTGCCAGGGACTCTTCCCAGGAAGAGCTGGGAAGCCGCGTAGAGGAGCGGGAATTCCGCGTCTCCGCGTGTCCCCGGCCGGGACCTCCCTCCTTCCAGCCCCGCAGCGCGTCCCGCAGCGCGGCGGGGGGATCACCGCGCCAAAGCCATCCCCGCGCTCCTTATCCCGTTAAAATGGAGCGCGGGGCTGGGAATGCCGTCAGGAGAAGCCCCGCGTGTGCCGGGCTGACTTACCGCGGGCGCGGGGCGATGCCGAGGGCAGGCAGGGCAGGCAGGGCAGGCAGGGCAGGCTGAGCAGCAGCAGCGGCAGCAGCGCGGGGAGCCGGGCCGGGGGCAGCGCACGGGGGGAGCGCGGCTGCTCGGCCTGGAGGCGCTCTGACATCTCAGCCCAGACTGAGGGAGACAAACTTTCATCAGCTGGGGCTGGAGAGCAGCCCCATAATATACAGTTACAGAGAGAAGCGAGCCGGGACTCAGGATGTGAGAGATTTCCTGCATGCAGTTAACTCCAAAACCCCTCCTGCTCCTGCCTCAGCTGCTGATGAGCGGGGCTCGGCTTCTTAGGGGAAAAAAAAAAAAAAGAGGAGTTGGTTGCTTCCCCCCCCCCCTCTTATTTTTGAAGAGGTTTGGGGCGGTTATTGTGATTTTTTTGTTGTTTTGGCAAGGAGAACCCCGTTGCCCGTGGCTCCTCACCCTGGAACAGCTGAGCCCCGCAGCCAGCGCTGGGGGGCTCCGGGTTCCCCCCCCCCCCCATTCCGGCTCCCAAGGTTTCCCCACTTTTTCTACACACACACAACCCTGGCTGCCTCCTCTGGAAAGTCATCTGCGTACGTTACAGCTCACGGTTATTTATTGGCTTCATAATTATTTTGGAGTTGTTTCTGGTGTTGTTTCTTATTTTATATTGTGGGGGTTTAAAAGGAAAGGAAAAAAAAACCAACAAAAAACAACCAACAACAAACCAAACAACAAAACACACCCACAGAGTTGCCAGATGCATTTTTTAAAATCTTCCTCATTCAAATTATTATTACTGACTGTCTGGGAGAATAACCAAATGCAGATTATCTATTCCTTAACATACCACCAAAACACATGTAATACCCACATGTTGCTGTAGAGCAGTAAAAAAAAAAAAAAAACAGCAACAAAAAAGAAACTAATCCTGAAGATCCTCACAGACTTTTATTGTGCAGCTTTTAGTTTTAATTCATTAAGATTCTTCCTAAATTTCAACATTTGGATATCCACACTTAATTCTGCAGATTGGCTCCATGTTCCTTGTGCACGAAACAGTTGGCAAAGCTGGCCCAATGTGTGTCTGTAGGCCAGCATGCAAAATAGCCATGGAATTCCACTTCAAAAATGGAGCTTGGAACCACAGATTTGGGTCTGTTCTAGAGCAGAGGCTGGTGGTTATTCTCAGTGAACCAGACTATACCTTTGGCCAGTTCCGAAGATAAATGAGGCAGCAGAGACTCCATGGGGGTAAAATGCTGTGATTCCCAAACTAGAGCCCTGCACTGTGCCCTCTTCCTGCCCCTGACAACATCACTGAGCCATCCCAGGGACAGTCATATCCTAGGATAAGTGGTAATGCCAGGTCATAGCACAAATAAACCTGGAAAAGAGCTGGGATGGTGAAGCATTTGCAGAAAGGGCTCCTATCAAGTGCTGTTCTTCCCAGTTAAAAAGTACCTCCCACCCCTTACCCCTCTGCCCAAAACTAAACCCATGGATTCACATCTAGGTGCTCTGAAATTTGAATTATACCTACATTCACCCCTCAAGTCTCACATTTTCCTCATTATGTGCCTTCCCAGGAACCCCCAACCAGGTGAGCAGTCAGGAATTATCCTATATATAACTCTAAATACCCAAATGCTAAATTTTCCCTACTCACCCATTATCAATTACAATTTAACAGCTACACTCAGTAACTTTTCATCCCCTAAATATAAACTAATGAACTCTATCAACTATCTCATTAAGAACATATGTGCTCCTCACAGAACATTGGTTAAAAACATTAAAATTAAAACAGAAAACTCCTTTGTGGAAGGCCACCATAAAAGCCATGTGGACATCTTTATCTTTTAAAGCTATTTTCCCATTAGAAAGAAAAAAAATCAGTCAAAGGGAACTAAAGACTTCCAAGTAGGGTTTTAGTAATCCCACAAGGCTTTTCACTTCAGTGGTAGTACTTTCATTTGAGTAACAATATTTGATAACAGAGAATGTGGAGCCAATTATATCTTGGTCATTCATTAGCATGAATGAAGTAGATATTATCAGAGTTCCTTCTCCTCCCCTAAAAATGTAACCAGAAAGGAATTGTTGCATTTTAGCACACTAATTTTATGGGCTTGAAGTTGATAAATTGGTAGTTTATCACAAAAGAACCCCAAATATTTCATTTACAATATCCATGTAGGAATGCTACTGAATCACAGGTACCTCTGGCTCTGGAGAACAACAGAACAATTTCACAGCTGTTTCAAAATTCTCTTAAAAAAAAAAACAAAAACAGGCAAAAGGCAGGTAATGTGCCCCTGACTCACTACAACGTGCACAAGAGAGGCCAAGCCTTGATTTTTAATTTTTCATGTCAAACCACCTCCCACAATTAGTTTTACGAGTCCTGGTTTATCCACTTCAGAAGAACAAGGCTGCGTTTCCCTGCAGGAAATGAAAATTGCATCCAGGTTGTGTGACTGCTTCAAAGGGGGCCACAATCCCGATTCTCCAGGTTATTCCCGCGGGCGATAGCTCTCCATCCATCCTTCCCAGCTTTGTTCTTTAGCACTGTCAGGGGAAGAGGAATGGAGGGAGGGGGGAAGGTGTTGGGTGGAGATGTCTCAGTGCTTCTGGGGCCATTTTCACCTTTGTGTCTTTTGCTACTTCTTCTTTATGTTTTTTTTTTCTCCTCCATGTTTCTCCTCCTTATCTTCCTTAATTCGTGTATTTAGTTTTCCCTCACTTCACCCCCAAGTAGCTTTTCTTTCCAAATCACCAACTCCACTCTGTGCCATCCTGCAATAGCAACAGCACATGAACACCTAAATAGTCTTTTTTACCTTACTTTTTGTCTCCTTGTGAAAGGGGAACTGAGCACACCACTCTTCCTTCTCTGTTACTACAGACAGGGGCTGGCACATACTGGTTGCTCCGTTTGTACTCAGCTTTAAGCGTCTGCAGGAAAAGCAAGCCAGGCACAAGTGACAAGCTGAAGAGAACAGATCCCACTGCTGTGGCACCTCTGTGCTTTGAGATGTGTGGATGAAATATCTCCCCCTGCGGCTCTGGGTCACCTGTGGCTGGGGGAATGCCCAGGAATGAGGTGACAAGGATCTCTGAGATCCTATCAGGACCTCAATTCAGGCGTGTCTCTCAGCTGCATGGCCCCTACTTCCCCTTGGGAGTGGTTTGGAAACGTTTAACACGCGTTTTTCAGCTGGAGAATATGAGAATTGGGAACGCTTACAGGGTGCTCAGGAATGTGTCCCGCATTAATCGTTACCCATTGTCATTCCCGAGGCAGGGCTGCAGCCCGAATCCTTCCCTCTCCAGCTCTCCTCCCTGCCTCTGACTTGTCACCGTGTCACTGGAATAGGTCAGATTGAAGTAGCTCAACTCTCAGTTTGCATTTACATGTGAAAACCATTTGATGTAAAGGGCACTCGCGACTTTGCACGGTTAATCTTTGACTGTATGACAACACAGGCAGTTGGCTTGGGCTCTGGTTATCAAATTACTAATTCATGTAGGAGCTTTAGTTCGCATGGCACTGAAAAGGTCAATCCAGAAGAGAGCAATAAGGAAGAGAGCAGTGTGGAATAACTTACCTGGAAACAAGCTTAGCAGACGGGTTAGTACAGAAACCAGTGAGGAGGAGGATGTGCTGAGGGAAACATCAATTCCCATTAGTTTCCCCTTGGCTAAAGAAGAAGGAGTTTTGAGAGGGAATCAGTGACTGATGGAGATAACAGGAAAAAAATAAGGAGTCGAGAGACAATATATTAAGTGTAAAACCTCCAGACTGTGATTCCGTGTGCTTTTGTGACATTAGCTGGAAAGCAATGTGACAAATGAATATGGAATTCATGAGATGGGTTATGGTATGCTATGGGGTGTGGAGTATGAGAAAGGGGAAAGGAAAAGGAGGAAAAGGAAAGCTTTCTGCTGGCCTTCTCTGCTAGAGCAGGATTTGCATCCCTGTGTTACAGCCTGAGTTAAATGAGGAGGATAAGCCACCTCAGAGAGCTGAACAATTTCAAGATAAGAGGTGTTGGTGGGCAGAAAGCACCTCTGTAACACTGCTCTCACATCTTCCCAGATCAGCTGTGATCTCCTTTTGGATATCCAGGAAACCTCACTGTAATCACAGCATTGACTATTATCCAGAATTTTTTTTTTATCCCCCTATGTGCCAAAATGCAGGAAGACTTGTCTGGGCTTAGCTACAGGGATCTACAGTTTTGGGGCCTCCAGGCTGAAGTTTTTCCTTCTTAGAGTAAACAAAATAAAACAAAAAAAGCTTTTCCCTTTGAAATCTGTGTGTCCCCCAGCCAGCTGCTGAGACTTTGTGTCTCCAGTCCTCCCTCACTTCATTAACTCTCTGCACAATCAAGATGCCGCTGAATTGTGACTGCAGTGGCAGATTACAGTCCTCTATAATTACCAGGCATAGATGCAGCATCATACAGCCTGACCTTTAGCCACAGAGCTCTGCTACAGACCTCTGTCCCAGCATTCACACACAAAATAGCAGCTCCCCAGAATAGCATCCATCAGGGCTGTGCACTGAAATGAAATACCTCCTAGAAATTCTGCTTGCTGCACATACTTGAGAGAAGTTGCATTGTATAGATTTCCTAGTCTAGGAGGGCAGGTTTCCACCCTCTGTGCACTCCAGCATTCCTTGAGGAGCTGGAGTGCTGTCCTGAGCAGCACAGTGAGTCTGGACCAAGCTGTTAAGCCCATGAGATGCAATGCAAGGTCAGCAATCTCGGTGTTCTGTTACCAATAAATATATTCATCCCTTCCTCTCCACTCCTCTTGTAACTCCCTGCTTTGGTTATAATTTTCCCTTCCTGTCCTACAGGTCCCTTAATATTGAATTCATCTGGAATTTCTATCCCAAAGCTTTGAGTCGGCCAGTGCAGTTGGGAACTGCAAGTAGAGGACAAAGCAGGCAGGGCCAGGCTCCAGCCAGAGCTTGTGCTTCCCCTCCACTGACCATGATCCTTCTGCTCATCCTTGTCAAGGGGCTCCCAGTGCCCAGATGGTGCCCCACGAGATTCAACAGAGCTCAGTTCAATGACAGGGATAGATTTCTGTGGCTGCCCCATCCCTGGAAATGTTCAGGACCAGGTTGGACAGGGCTTGGAGCAACCTGGGCTAGTGGAAGGTATCCCT